TATAACGATGTTACATCAGCACTGGCTACGTATATACTATTAATTCCCTTATATTTATCTAAGATCTGTAACAAATGTTTGGTATAATATTTTTATTGAAATTGTGAAATAAAGGTATTGTAATTAGGTCTGTTATGTATTGGCTAGCCTTCAGAGGAGAGTCTATGTACGTTTAAGTGTTTGATTTTAGGATTAGCAAGAGGAAAGTTACATTAGTTGAGCAGGTAACATATGTCCCTGTGATTAGGCTCCAAGAAAATGGCGGCCGTAATTAAAATGGGGATGAAAGGGCGGGATAGTTGTTTCCACCGTAGTATAAAAGAAGACTGCGTCTCCATAGCGATACCCAGAAGAAGTCACGAGGTACGTGACGTAACGCGTAGGCAAAGCTAAGACGCAACTTCCGGTATCCGGAGTGTCGCACTTCCGGTGTGGGACGCCATTTTCCTGGTTATCAGGAAGTATCATCAGAGGTTTGCAGTTTGCCCATATAGGGACGGAATTGCCGCTGTACAACCGAATGTGAGTTACTTTTTGGCTATATGATATTAAACCCTTACATATTGGAAATACTACACTATGGAGGATCTGTTTTTTTACTCACTATTTCTGTGAGAGAGAGTTTGCAGACAATCGCTGGTGAGGAGCCTGTGAGGCATAACAGTGAAGGAGTGGAGGAGGCCTGATAGGAGGAATATCAGGAAGGTGCCAAACCAGGAATTTTGAGGATCCAGGGTGATCCTAAAGGCTTGTGGGCCCCTAGGGGTCGCAGGAAGGAGGTGAGCAGGCATTGCAGCCGAAGTGGAAAGAAGTGTGTTGGTTCACGAGTGGCACTATCTATATATAAACACTGTGCATGTATATAGAGAACACTTGGAATAGATGGATTTGAATTGGAATATTGGACATTGAATGAAGTTGAAGTGGCACCATCACCCGATATTTATTTATTTATTTTTATTTTTTTGAAGTGGCACTATCACAATATATTTTTTATGGAATATGATTATAATGTTTTTATTTGTAAGAGAGTGATATTTACGAGGGTATTTAGTGGTCTAAGAGCACTGTGAGGATCACAGTACTTATCACATTAATTATATTATGTATTATGCATTATAATGGTACTGTTTTATTTGCATGTTTAGCGCTACACTAATTTATTTATACAGATATAGTGAATGCAGGGTCCAGGGGAGACCAGATATAGTGAATGCAGGGTCCAGGGGAGACCAGATATAGTGAATGCAGGGTCCGGGGAGACCAGATATAGTGAATGCAGGGTCCGGGGAGACTGGATATAGTGAATGCAGGATCCGGGGAGACCGGATATAGTGAATGCAGGGTCCGGGGAGAGCAGATATAGTGAATGCAGGGTCCGGGGAGACCAGATATAGTGAATGCAGGGTCCGGGGAGACCAGAAAGAGTGAATGCATGGTCCGGGGAGACCAGATATACTGAATGCAGGGGCCGGTGGAGACCAGATATAGTGAATGCAGGGTCTGGGGAGACCAGATATAGTGAATGCAGGGTCCGGGGAGGCCGGATACAGTGAATGCAGGGTCCGGGGGGACCAGATATAGTGAATGCAGGGTCCTGGGAGACCGGATATAGTGAATGCAGGGTCCTGGGAGACCCTATATAGTGAATGCAGGGTCCGGGGAGACCGGATATAGTGAATGCAGGGTCCTGGGTTTAGTAACACTTTATCACTATAGCGCAAGAGAATTACAGAGAAAATGAACAGACTGCTACAAGCGATCACTGTCACTGCTCAATCAGAACTGGGTGGTGTAAACAATTCAACCCCTTTCAGAACAGGGAATCTTGCAACTATGCAAGCAAAATATAACAGAGGTACAAACTCCTAGGTGTTTGTGGTGCAATTTTAACGTGTGTAAAGCGCGCCAAAACCACACATGCAGCATTTGTGGAGCGTTTTTAATGCATGTTAAACACGAGTCAAGCGTACCTATTAACGTGCATTAATGCTATACAGTCATGGCCGAAATTGTTGGCACCCTTGATATTTCTCCAGGAAATCATGTATTTCTCACGAAACGTATTGCATTAACACATGTTTTGCTATACACATGTTTATTCCCTTTGTGTGTATTGGGACAAAACAAAAAAAGGGAGGAAAGAAAGCAAATTCGACATAATGTCACACAAACCTCCAAAAATGGGCTGGACAAAAGTATTGGCACCCTTTCACAACTGCGGATAAATAAGAATGTTACAAGCATGTGATGCTCCTGTAAACTCACCTGGGGCAAGTAACAGGTGTGGGCAATATAGAAATCACACCTGAAAGCAGATAAAAAGGAGAGACGTTCACTTAACCTTTGCATTGTGTGTCTGTCTGTGCCACACTAAGCATGGACAACAGAAAGAGGAGACGAGAACTGTCTGAGGACCTGAGAACCAAAATTGTGGCAAAATATCAACAATCTCAAGGTTACAAGTCCATCTCCAGAGAACTAGATTTGCCTTTGTCCACAGTGCGCAACATTATCAAGAAGTTTGCAACCCATGGCACTGTAGCTAATCTCCCTGGTCGTGGACGGATGAGGAAAATTGATGAAAGATTGCAACGCAGAATAGTCCGGATGGTGGATAAGCAGCCCCAAACATGTTCCAAAGACATTCAAGCTGTCCTGCAGGCTCAGGGAGCATCAGTGTCAGCGCGAACTATCCGTCGACATTTAAATGAAATGAAACGCTATGGCAGGAGACCCAGGAGGACCCCACTGCTGACACAGAGACATAAAAAAGCAAGACTACAGTTTGCCAAAATGTACTTGAGTAAGCCAAAAGCCTTCTGGGAAAACGTCTTGTGGACAGATGAGACCAAGATAGAGCTTTTCGGTAAAGCACATCATTCTACTGTTTACCGAAAACGGAATGAGGCCTACAAAGAACAAAACACAGTACCTACGGTAAAATATGGTGGAGGTTCAATGATGTTTTGGGGTTGTTTTGCTGCCTCTGGCACTGGGTGCCTTGACTGTGTGCAAGGCATTATGAAATCTGAGGATTACCAAAGGATTTTGGGTCGCACTGTAGGGCCCAGTGTCAGAAAGCTGGGTTTGCGTCCAAGATCCTGGGTCTTCCAGCAGGACAATGACCCCAAACATACGTCAAAAAGCACTCAGAAATGGATGGCAAAGAAGCGCTGGAGAGTTCTGAAGTGGCCAGCAATGAGCCCAGATCTAAATCCCATTGAACACCTGTGGAGAGATCTTAAAATTGCTGTTGGGAAAAGGTGTCCTTCCAATAAGAGAGACCTGGAGCTGTTTGCAAAGGAAGAGTGGTCCAAAATTCCGGGTGAGAGGTGTCAGAAGCTTATTGATGGTTATAGGAAGCGACTGATTTCAGTTATGTTTTCCAAAGGGTGTGCAACCAAATATTAAGTTAAGGGTGCCAATACTTTTGTCCAGCCCATTTTTGGGGTTTTGTGTGACATTATGTCATATTTGCTTTTCTGCCTCTGTGTGCATTTGCCCCAGCATTGGTGCCAGGGGAAGAGAGAAAGGAATGGTCCCTCATCATTGGTGTTATTGGAAGGATTAGGGTCCCATTGTTGGCAACAGTGGGAGGAATTATGCCCCACTGTTGGTGTCAGTGAAATGAATGGTTCCTCATTGTTGGTGCCAGAAGGAATAGTGCCTCATATGAGCGTGAAGAATAGTCCCCCAAGGGCTGCACAAAGGCAAGCAAAGGGCCACATTTGGCCTGTAGGCCACAGTTTGTTGACCACTACTCTGCACTACTGAATGCTTGGAGAAGAACAGAACACAACAGCAAGCAGGAGATATTCCTCACCCGAAGAAGCGCTTTTTGACTCTTTTGCTTCCTCCAGGTTAGACAAATAGCTGTTGTTGTTTTCTTTTTAAGCAGAGGCTGAGTAACAGCCTGGGATGAGTCAGCCTGTGAGTGAGGCAGGAATTCACCTCAGGACAGGCCTGGAGGCTCTAATAGGTCAGGGTTTCTGGAGCCCTTCCACCCTTCCAGAAACCTTTAGAACTTTCTGGAAGAGGGTTGAAGGAGGGGAGGAAACTCAGATCTGCTTGTTTGAGGGACCCTGGCCAATCCCTTGACAGGAGGCTGGGCATGGTATCCAGGGCAACCATCAAAAGTGGCAGAGCCTGCGCAGCAGTAGTTACAGTGTCGGGTGGAAGATGTAGTGAGGAGCTGGAGTTTGGATCCTTGGAGGAGGCCCCAAGGAGGGGGCCTACCTACAGGCAGTTGCTGGAGAAGAGGATCTTTACTGTGGCACTGTCTCCAAGGGAGGACATCCTCAGCAGCAGGGCAGGAGACAGCCCAGCAAAAGGCCTGAAGGCAGCCACCAACACACCAAGCCCACTGGAAAGACAGTGTGAGTACTCTTGGGCTGGATAAGGGGAGAGGGCGGTCAGGTGGAAAACCCAACTAACTTCTCATCTGGGACTGCTGCATTAAATTGGCAGCTTCTAGGCTTGCAAAGTGAAACAAAAAGAAAGCGCACCAACCTTGCGCATTACCTCAGCAAACCAAAATTTTTATTAAATTCAGAATAATACTCACAAACAACAAAGTAAATCAAGCATGTAAGTCCTCAAAGGAACTTTAGAAGTGCGAAGCCTGTGCAAGTCCCATCATAGGGGTAGATTCTCAGAGTACAACTGACGTGTTTCGAAGGGGGTCCCTTCTTCATCAGATCTACTGAGGTAATGCGCAAGGTTGGTGCGCTTTCTTTTTGTTTTACTTTGCAGTACTGGTCGGGATTCCCCAGCCTTGTTTAGAGCTGCACAACCCTATATGCATTGGTCGTCAAATTTTTTTCAAGTTCTGGTTCCATCCATCCACCTTTGCTCTGGGTCATAGAGCGCAGGAAAGGTCGTTTCTGGTTCAGCTTCTAGGCTTGCCCAAGGAATACCCTCAGGAAGCTGGGTGAAGAGGAGGATTCATCTTTGGTCTGTGGAGGTACACCAAAGAGCTTTGGATACAATATTGAATTTAACCCCCCTGGCGGTATTCCCGAGTGTAGCTCGGGGTAAAGTTTCAGTACCACAAGCGGTAACCCCGAACTACACTCGGGAATACCATGCAACGCTGATCCGGGATCTGTTCTTCTCTTACCTTGTCCTGCGCTCCCGCGATGTCCCTCCTGCAGTGGCCCCGGCAATGTAATCCGGCAGATGCCGACATCTGTCATCTGGGTGCGTCGGGACGTACAGGGACGGAACGGTGGGAAATTTGAAAATGACAAAAAGTAACATTCAATAAATACACTAAAATCACATAGTAAAACATTGCTGTTTCAACCCATTTCACATACATTTTGTCCCGAGTGCTTTGTCCGGCGCCCTGCCTGCATTTTGACTGTTCTTTCTGCCTGGAAACTGAGAAATGTCCATGGCATCCAAAAAGTGTCCCTTTAGGTCAAAAGCGGTTTTAGACCGGCTAGAGAACAGCGATAGTAAATCAGAACCACTTGCAGAATTGAGTGATAATGATTCGTGGGGGAAATTCCTCATCAGGCACTGAAAACGATTCTGCGACTTTTCTCAGTGATGTGCGAACTTGGCGCTATATTTCACATTTCAGTGTTTTTGGTTTGATTATATTATCGAATTAAATTTATTATTATTTTTTATGATTATTTATTAAATTATAATTTATGATTTCGTGTTTCAAATTTTATCACACCCGGGATGTTTACTAGACTCTTGTTCAGACAGATTTCAGTGAGTTATTCCTAAGAATTACAGGCCTACAATAAAAAAAATACATATTTCCATGCAAAAAAATGTACCGCTTTGAGCACAGAAATACTGACATAATCAGACTGCTAGGGAGGTTAAACGATAATGCACTAGGCCGTGCGCCCCTCTTTTTGTTTTTTCATTTGCATTTACTGACTTTGGACTACCACGGTCTGTTGAGGGCAGCAAGCAGTGCAAATTCCAGAACATTCACATTGTCATTCTAGCCTCTGCTGGGTCCATCCCCAGCGCAGGAGTAAAGTATTCGCTGTGGTTGAAGTCAATGTGCCATGAATATCATTTAAGGCACATTGTCTTCAACAAATGTTTTTTCAAAAACATTTTGGCTTAAGTTGGGTTTTCAAATTGTACCCATAGCCATTGTTGTCCTGTATTGTCACCTTGAGAATGTGGACACTCGTTTCTCCAAAATATTGATCGTGATATACACGAAGCTTCAGGAAAGATGTTCTTTTTGCAAGTGATGGGCAGCACAGTGGCTAAATGGTTAGCACTTCCGCCTGGCAGTACTCGGGTCATTGGTTCGAATCCCAGCCACGGCACCACCTGTCTGGAGTTTGCATGTTCTCCCTGTGCCTGCGTGGGCTTCCTCCAGTTGCTCCGGTTTCCTCCCACACTCCAAAGACATGCTGGTAGGTTAATTGGCTCCTGTCTAAATTGTCCCTAGTATGTGTATGTATGAATGTGAGTTAGGGACCTTAGATTGTACGCCCCTTGAGGGTTAGGGACTGATGTGAATGTACTATATATATGTAAAGTGCTGCGTAAATGGATGGCGCTATATAAGTACCTAAAATAAATAAGTGATGTGCTAATGTACCACTTTGAGCACAGAAATATGACATAATTAGACTGCTAGGGAGGTTAAACGATAATGCACTAGGCCGGTGCGCCCTCTTTTTGTTTTTTTTGGTTTTATTCCTAAGAATTACAGGCCTACAATAAAAAAAATACATATTTCCATGCAAAAAAATGTACCGCTTTCAGCACAGAAATATGGACATAATCAGACCGCCAGGGAGGTTAAAGCATTTTTATCACAAAACTGGACATTTTATGGACACTTTTTAATTTAATAATAAGGTTCAGTTATACCCAGGGGAGGACTGACAACTCATGGGGCCCCCGGGCAATAGGGGATCATGGGGCCCCTGTGTCCTTGCCCAAACTCAAAAAAGCCTATGAAAAAGGTACCAGGGGCATCTCATGGGGCCCCCTACTGACCCCCCGGGCAATAGGGGATCATGGGGCCCCTGTGTCCTTGCCCAAACTCAAAAAAGCCTATGAAAAGGTACCAGGGGCATCTCATGGGGCCCCCTACTGACCCCCCGGGCAATAGGGGATCATGGGGCCCCTGTGTCCTTGCCCAAACTCAAAAAAACCTATGAAAAAGGTACCAGGGGCATCTCATTGGGCCCCCTACTGACCCCCTGGGCAATAGGGGATCATAAGGGCCCCTGTGTCCTTGCCCAAATTCAAAAAAGCCTATGAAAAAGGTACCAGGGGCATCTCATGGGACCCCCTACTGACCCCCCGGGCAATAGGGGATCATATGGGCCCCTGTGTCCTTGCCCAAATTCAAAAAAGCCTATGAAAAAATGGTACCAGGGGCATCTCATGGGGCCCCCTACTGACCCCCCAGGCAATAGGGGATCATGGGACCCCTGTGTCCTTGCCCAAATTCAAAAAAGCCTATGAAAAAGGTACCAGGGGCATCTCATGGTGCCCCCTACTGACCCCGGGCCCTCGGGCACTGCCCGAGTTTCCAAATGGTCAGTCTGCCCCTTGTTAAACTATTGAGCTTTGTGTATATATTTTTTCTTTTCACGTATTAGTGGATTACACTTGAGCAGCAGCACCAGTATTGAAATTGTTTTCACCTATAGTGCAATTTTTTTTTTGTTTTTATTGTAGTAAGGGTGTGTACTTACTAAAAACGCTAGCGCTAAAAACTTACTAAAAACGCTAGCGCTAAAAACTTACTAAAAACGCTAGCGCTAAAACAAGCGCCCTTTTTTCCATTTAAGACAGTAGCAAGGTAATGATTGTGGGTTAAAATATATCTTGTTTGTGCAGCTAAAGAAACCCTTTTTATTATCACCTGGTGCATAAATACAACTTTGACCTCTACCGGCTCCAGAAGTATTCCGGTAAAAATACGGCTCTGCGAGGTGCTTTATATCCGGCGTTGTAACCTTCAACAACAAATATTTTTGTACTATGTAGACAGCAAATACAAACAATTGCATATGTAGTCTGAAAGCATACCCAGGAAAATCAATATTTGACATCTCAACAACTGGCTCTTTGGAACACCGCTCAATAGCCGGTATTCATTATACCCTTCTATCTCTTTCAAATCCTCTTTTGTCACAAGAAAGCCATTTTTTCCCTTCTGACTTCTACATAACTTCTTTGCCCTGCACTTTTACAGATGCCTCCCAGCTATAAATACTGATGACATTTTACTGGTTAATTCAATTTTGCTGGTACACTTGCAGTTATGACCTAACTTTCCCACGAGAGAGGCTGATTGAACATTCGACAACCTTATGGAGAGGCACAAACACTCGGCTGAAGTGGACGGACAATTTCCATAATTATAGAATTCGCAGCCTAATGACCTTAAAAAACAATAAAAAGATCCTGCCTTTAATTCCATTTTCTGCCGCTGACATTCAGAATATTTAATTCCACTCAGGGACAACAAATTTACTTTTTTATTTAAAATAAAAAAAAAAAATGGAGCCCTATCTTTCTACTCGCAGACTATATTATCGGAACAGGAGAAAGAAAAAAAAAAAAAAGGTAAAAAAGATTTCATGGAATATTTAGCATTTCGTTGTCTTTTAAAAGTTAGAATATTTACGATCTTTAAAATGCTGTGACTGATTTATGGCAGTCAATTACAATAGTGCTTTTTCAAATGGCCCTTTTAAAAATGAAGTATAGAATAATTAAAAAGATCACAAGTCCTCCTCTGCATATCATTAGTTCATTATTTCATTACAGTGCAGAAACAGTTTTTGCTGAGTGGAGACAATTTTAATTGAGAGGAATCTATAACGGGGAAAGGTAGGAAGGCAGCTCTTCTGGAGCAAAAGCGGCGTGCGTGGAATTATCTCTAAGGACTGTCTATCATTCTGCGCCACCGTATCAAATCAAAGTCTAGATAATGTGGACGTTTTTCAGCTCCTTGGAGCATATTAGGAGAAAATAACTTTATTTTAATGCACACAAATAATAATAATGAGTTCTTATACGGAGGAGTTAGATACGATCCACAACCGTACCTCAGTCTCTCTTCCCGAACCAGATTGCTCTTCCACAAACTGTTCCTTTTGAAGGTCTAAGGTAGAGATTTGTCTGAATAATTTTTACCATTTAACTACCTAGAGCAGGGGTGTCAAACTGGTGGCCCTCCAGCTGTTGCCAAACTACAAGTCCCATCATGCTTCTGCCTTTGGGAGTCATGCTTGTAACTGTCAATTTTGCATTGCCTCATGGGACTTGTAGTTTGGCAACAGCTGGAGGGCCACCAGCTTGACGCCTGTGACCTAGAGTATTCATCTTATCTTCATGGTAGCTACCAACCTGGTAGCTTATTTTCCAAAAGAAAAATTATTTTTCTTAAAGTGTATCAAACAAACTTTGTTTTCAGTTTGGGATAAAATGGCGAGGGGTTAGAGGGAGTCACATTTTAAGGACTGTCTACCATTACACGTGACCATATAAAATTGAAGCCTAGATAATATGGATGTTTTGAGATCTTCAGAGCATATTATGTGCCAACTGTACCCTGGTCTCTGTTCCCTAACCAGAATTCTCATCCACAACTCTTCCTTTTGAAGGTCTGATATATAGATTTGTATGAATAATTTCTAAAATTTAAATCCTGTACCTATACCAGCCTATTTCAACCTTTAAACATGGAGGAACCCTTGACATAATTTTCTGGTCTCAGGGAACCCCTGCTAAAATGACTATGTCTACAGCTCATTATACATTAGTGTGATGGTCGGTGGGAAGAATGCTCCTTACACTTGTGGTCATTGGGAAGAATTATCATCTTACAGATAGATAAAAAGATCATTGGTGTCAGTGGGAACTTATCTGAGAGACAGAAATTGCTTATTGTTCAAGGAAACCCTTGAAATCTTTGGAGGAACTCAAGGGCTCCATGGAACCCTTGTTGAAGAACCTGACCTTCATGGTAGTTACCAGCATGGTAGCTTATATTCCAAATGAAAAATTATTTTTCTTAAGCTGTATCTAACACTCAAACTTTTTTTTTCAGTTTTGGATAAAATGGTGAGGAGTTGGGGGGGGTCACATTTTATTGCTCTTAAGGAGGTTCACTTTTTTTTTTTCGCCCACTGTCTTTGGGACTAAAAGTGAGAGAACATTTTTAAAAATGTAAGTTGTCAACAGAACACGAATAAAGTGGTAACCATTGAAGGGGTGACAACTGATTAAAAGGAAATTTAGTTCACTTTGAATACAAAGTTTTTAGGAAAAGGAAATATGACTTTTAAGGTACCAGTATTTCTAAAA